CCAGTGGATCTTCCTGACATACCGCCCGATAGGGATATTAATTTTGGTATTGACTTATTACCGGGCACTCAACCCATTTCTATTCCACCATATTGTATGGCCCTAGCGGAGCTAAAGGAGTAAAAGGAGCAGTTGCAAGAGTTTCTTGATAAGGGTTTCATTCGGCCTAGTGTGTCTTCGTGGGGTGCTAAAGTCTTGTTTGTGAATAAAAAGGATGGCTCTATGCACATGTGTATTGATTATCGGCAGTTGAACAAGGCTGTATCCATTGTCATGCATTGATAACTTATTTGTTTAGCTACAGGGTGCCAGAGTGTTCTCAAAGATTGATTTGCGGCCAGGTTATCATTAGCTAAAGATTCAGGATCCGGATATTTCTAAGACAACCTTTAGGACTCGGTATGGTCACTACCTTGTGATGCCATTTGGGTTGACCAATGCTCCAGTAGCATTTATGCACTTGATGAACAGAGTATTCCACCCATATCTTGATTCATTCGTTATTTTGTTTATTGACAACATCTTGGTTTACTTCGCAGTGGGGAAGATCACGAGTAGCACCTGAGGATTGTGCTCCAGACTTGAGAGAAAAGAAGTTGTATGCAAAATTTTCAAAGTGTGAATTCTGGCTTGATTCGGTGGCATTTTTGGGTCATGTGGTGTCAAGTGGGGGGATCAAGGTAGAGCCGAAGAATATTGAAGCAGTGGAGAATTGGCCCAGACCGTCTTTAGCTACTAAGATCCGGAGTTTTCTTAGTTTGGTCGGGTATTATCGTCGTTTCGTAGAGGGTTTCTCATCTATAACTGCACCTATGACCAGATTGACCCAGAAGGGTGCTCCTTTCAGATGGTCCGAAGAGTGTGAGGCGAGCTTTCAAAAGCGCAAGACTGCTTTGACTAATGCTCCAGTGTTGGTCTGAGGAGTGTGATGCATCACGTGTTGGCCTTGGAGAGATGTTGATGCAAAACGGTAGGGTGATTGCCTACATGTCTTGACAGTTGAAGACCCATAAGAAGAATTATCTAGTCCACGACTTGGAGTTGGCAGCCATTGTTCATGCATTGAAGATTTTGGCGGCATTATTTGTACGGTGTTCCTTGTGAGGTCTTTACCGACCACCGGAGTCTACAGCATCTGTTCAAATAGAAAGATCTTAACTTCGGCAGTGGAGGTGGTTAGAGGTTCTTAAGGGCTATGATATCACCATTCTATATCATCCCGAGAAGGCCAATATGGTGGTCAATGACTTGAGTCGAAAGGCGGAGAGTTTGGGTAGTTTAGCATACCTACCGGCAGCGGAGAGGCCATTAGCATTGGATGTTCAGACCTTAACCAACCAGTTTGTTAGGTTGGATGTTTCGGAGCCTAATCGAGTTCTTACCTACGTGGTTTCTCGATCTTCTCTATATGACCGTATCAGAGAGTGTCAATATGACGACCCCCATTCGCTTGTTCTTAAGGATACGGTTCAGCAGGGTGATGCCAAGTAGGTTATCATTGGGGATGAGGGTGTGTTATGAATGCAGGGTTGGGTATGTGTGCTCAATGTGGATGGGTTGCGTGAGTTGATTCTTCAGGAGGCCCACAGTTCGCGGTACTCTATTCATCTGTGTACTTCTAAGATGTACCAGGATTTAAGGCAGCACTATTGGTGGAGGAGGATGAAAAAGGACATAGTGGAGTATGTAGCTCGGTGCCTAAATTGTCAGCAGGTGAAGTATGAGCATCAGCGGTCAGGTGGTTTGCTTCAGCGGATTGAGATTCCCGAGTGGAAATGGGAGCATGTCACCATGGACTTCGTTGTTGGGCTCCCACGGACTCAGAAGAAGTTTGATGCGGTATGGATGATTGTGGACAGGTTGACCAAGTCAGCTCATTTCATTTTAGTAGTGACTACTTATTCTTTAGAGCAGTTAACTCTGGTTTATATCCGCGAGATTATCTGACTTCATGGCGTACCGGTGTCCATCATCTCTGATCGGGGTACCCAGTCCACATCACGTTTCTGGAGAGTTGTACAGTGTGAGCTAGGTACATGGTTTGAGTTGAGTACAACATTTCACCCTCAGACAGATGGACAGTCCAAGCGCACCATTCAGATATTGGAGGATATGCTTCGTGCCTATGTTATGGATATCGGGGTGCTTGAAATCGGTTCTTTCCACTTGCGGAGTTTGCCTACAACAACAGCTACCAATTGAGCATTCATATGGCTCCTTATGAGGCCCTATATAGGAGACGGTATCGTTCTCCAGTTGGGTGGTTTGAGCCGGGAGAGTCTAAGTTATTAGGCACAGATTTGGTTCCAGATGCTTTGGAGAAGGTCAAGATGATCCAGGATCGGCTTCGTACAGCCCATTCTAGACAGAAGGGTTATGCGGATCGGAAGGTTCGTGATGTTGCATTCATGGTTGGAGAGCGAGTCTTACTCCAGGTTTCACCCATGAAGGGTGTAATGAGGTTCGGGAAGAAGGGCAAGTTGAGCCCTAGGTATATTCTTTTGAGATCTTTGTGAGGATTAGGGAGTTGGCCTACAAGCTTGCTTTGCCACCTAGTTTGTCTGTGGTTCATCCAGTGTTCCATGTTTAATGCTCCGAAATTATTACGGTGATCCGTCTCATGTTATAGACTTCAGCACAGTCCAATTAGACGAGGATTTGACTTATATTGAGGAGCATGTGGCTATCTTGGATAGACAGGTCTGAAAGTTGAGATCAAAGAATATTGCTTCAGTGAAAGTTCAATGGAGGGGTCATTCAGTCGAGGAGGCGAACTGGGAGATCAAGCACGACATGCAGAGTCGTTATCCTCATATATTCACCACTTCAGGTATGTCCTTATGCACATTCGAAGACGAATATTTGTTTTAAGAGGGGGAGAATAAAACGACACGATCGGTCATTTTGTGTAATTATGCCCCATTACCCCTTTTTATATTTCACACATGTGTATTTATGATTTTATGACTTGCGGGATTGGTTAGTTTCATTCTGGAAAGCTTTCGGGTTGATTTGGACCCTTGATTCTTGACTTAAAAGTTTAAATTAGAAAATATTGACTAAACTTTGACTTTTATGAAAACGACCCCAAAAATATGTTTTTATGGATCTGATATCTTGGTATCGTAATTTCGAATTTGGGTGTATACCGAGAATTGATTTTCAAAGTCCGTAGGTTGATTTATATTGACTTGCCGAAATTTGGAAATTTGAAGTTGAAAGGTTTGACCGTAGGTTGACTTTTAGCTATCGAGCTCGAAATTTGCCTTTTGGGACTTGGAATAGGTCCATTATGGTATTTAGAACTTGTTCGCAAAATTTAGGGTCATTTGAAGTTAATTTGATAGGATTCAGACGTTTAGTTGTAACTTTAGAAATTCTTGAACTTTACTTTGAAACTCATGTGTTTTAGTTTTCGATTTGTAGTTTTAGACATTATTTTTATGTTTTGATCACGCGAGCGAGTTCGTATGATATTTTTAGACTTGTGTTGATATTTGGTTTGGAGCCCCGAGGGCTTGGACGAGCTCCGAACATGTTTCGGAATGGTTTTAGACTGAAATTAGACTACTGGTGTTGCTGGTGCTCTGGTGTCGCAATTGCGAACACCAGCATCGTAATTGTGAAGGTGACGATGGGGGCTCTGATGTCACAATTGCGACTCCCCCTTCGCAATTGCGAAGACTGCCAGATTTCAACTAAGTTCACAATTGCGAACAATAGTTCGCTTTTGCGATGCCCTCCGGTTCGCAATTGCGAAGTCTATCGCAATTGCGATGAATGTTGAGGTTGTCAGGGTTCCCAAATGCGAGCCCTGGTCCGCAATTACGAGGTTTTGCAAATGCGACATCTGCATCTGGTTAAAGGGCTGGGAGACCAGGGGCAGACTTATGTACATGGTTCGGGGTGGTAGGCCACCCGCAAGCTTCGAGGGCTTGAATCCAAAGTACCACCCGTAGAACAAAAGTGACAAAGGTGCCAGTGGTAAAGATCTACCTTTTCCTTCAGCAGGGCGAGGGCTTGAATCCAAGCGGGAGCACATAATTTTTTGGCACACATTTAGTTACAATTTAAGGAGATTAAGTATACTACACAACACACTCTTCTATATTTTAAATGTTTGACTTTTTTGTTGTTTGTTTAAGTATAAACAAATAAGATAAAATATTAATAGAAGTATTCTTTATAAAATATTCTCTTATAATTAATACTCCTAATAGAAAGTTAAAATCCTTTTTTAGGATCTTTCCCAAAACCCAATTTCTAAAACTCTCTGGTAAAACAAATCCCCAATTCCCCAAGTCCCTTACGCCACTTTCCCATTTCCCTTTCTCGTTGCTTCACGCCACTACTTCTGCTTCTCGCTTCTCTGTGAGCATTTATTCTGCTTTACCTCTGCCACTCTGCGGATGCTTCACACCTTCATTGCTCACTAGTCATTGCTCTACACCCATTATTGTAAAGTTTTCTCACCTCCTCTTGTTTATTTCTTAACCCTATGTGGCTATTCTTTTCCCATCAAATATATATTCTTGCTCTGTTTTTGTTTTGTATTTAGTTGGATTTTAGTGTTCTTGCTAAAGTTTATTGTCACTGTTTTGATTTTTTTGTTATGTATTTTTTTGGTTGTGTTTGAAAATCAAATGTCTCTTAAATAATTTCACTGTAGAATTTATTACCGTGGCAAAAAGAGAAAGAACATCCCAAATAATTTTGATCGAGGAAAATTCAAAATTAACTCTATTTTAACAACGACAAACAAAAATATTAGGGAAGGTTAAGTTATTTAAAATAACTAAACTTATTGATGGTATGAACTAGTAGAAATTGTTCTATATTTCATAGTGAGCTACAGAGAAAGCTTTTTCACAGGAATTAATTTCTATTTTATAGGAATTAAATTGAGATGGATAAATTTGTCACGCGGTTGGACCATTCTCAACCAAGTCCTAGTTGTCAATCCTTGATCCAAGCGAATGCCAATCTTTCATATCTTATAAATGAACTCGATTTGGGGTCACTTAAAGGTGATCCAGGAGAAAGATTATATTCAACAAGGTCCTTGTCAACCTTCCAAGCATCAATTTCCCAAATCTCAAATAGGAGGAAGAATGCGTCAATTTGTTCCAAGTTGGTTCAATGGCCAATTTTCTAAATGGTTGGAGTATAGTGTAAAGAAAGATGCGGCATTTTGCTTATGTTGTTATTTTTTCAAAAATGAATTTATTCATAGAAGTGTGGGTGAATTTTATACAAAAAATGGTTTTAGGGATTGGAATAAGGGTCTTGAAAGATTGCATTTACATGTTGGTGATGTTAATAGTGCCCATGATAAATGTTTCAAGAAGATGCTAGATTTATCAAATTATCATCAATCAATTCAAGTTGTTTTTGATAAGCACTCCGAGAAGTTGAAAAGTGAGTATCAAATGCGTTTAGAAGCATCAATTGATGTGGCAAGACTTCTATTGTTGTATGGATTGCCTTTTAGGGGTCATGACGAAAGTGAATCTTCAACAAATCAAGGCCTCTTTCTAGGATTCTTACAATGGCATGGGGACAATCATCTGGATGTGGGAAAAGCAATATTAGAAAATGCTCCACAAAATGATACTTTGACTTGCCCTATGATCCAAAAGGATATTATCAATGCTTGTGCAAAAAAAATATTAAAGGCTATAATTGGAGACTTGAATGGAGATTACTTTGGTATATTAGTTGATGAGTCCAAAGATATCTCACACAAAGAACAAATGGCTCTTGTTTTGCATTATGTTGATAAGAATGGTGAACTGGTAGAGAGATTTGTTGGTCTTGTCCATGTTAGTAATACATCGGCATGCTCATTGAAGGAAGCAATCTACTCTTTGCTTTTGGACCACTCACTAAGTCCATCCTAAATACGTGGACAAGGTTATGATGGAGCTAGTAACATGAGGAGAGAGATAAGTGGTCTCAAGACTTTGATTATGAAAGACAGCTCATCGGCATATTGCATTCATTGCTTTGCTCATAAATTGCAATTAACACTTGTAGCTATGTCTAAAAAGCATTTGGATGTCGAAGACTTCTTTTGTCATGTTACTAATGTGTTGAATATCATTGGAGTATCTTTTAAGCGCAAAGATTTGCTTCGCCATCTTCAAGCTGAAAAATTGGAGCAATTACTTGAGTCTGGTGAAGTTCATACCGGGCGAGGACTAAATCAAGAACGCGGGCTTCAAATACCAGATGATACTCATTGGGGATCACATTTCAAAACATTAGATAACTTTATTGTTATTTTTTCATCAATTATTTTTGTGCTTGAAGTGATTGAACATGAAGGTTCTACATTAAATGAGAGAAATCAAGCAAAATATCTTTTGAGTGAGAAAATAACATTCAAATTTGTTTTTATGCTTCACTTGATGTTGAAAGTTTTGGCAATGTCAAATGAGTTGAACAAGATCCTACAAAAGAGGAATCAAGATATTGTTAATGCCGTGGAGTTTCTTAACATTACAAAGAAAATATTGCAAGATATGAGGGAAACTAGATAGGAATCTTTGCTAGATGATGTTTCCTCATTTTATGATATGCATGATATTATAATTCCCAAGATGGATGAATTCTATTTTCCTGGAAAGTCGAAGCGCAAGTCTTCTGGTATTTGTTATTAACACCACTTGCGTGTTGATATCTTTTATGTTGTAATTGATGTGCAACTTCAAGAGCTTAATGATCGTTTTGATGTAGTGAGTAGCAATTTGCTTCTTGGGATGGCTAGCTTGAATCCATCCAATTCTTTTGCTAATATTGATAAAGGTAGAATAATGACTTTAGAAAAATATTACCCAAATGAGTTTGATGAAGTACAGATTCGAGACTTGAGTTATCAACTAGATACTTTCATAATTCATATGCGAGCAGGCAATCCCAATTTCTCCAACTTGTAAGGAATTAATGATTTGGCAAAAGCATTGGTTGAGACAAATCTTGTGGAGACTTATTCGTATATGTATTTACTTGTGAAGTTAACTCTGATTTTACCTGTTGTTACCGCAACTGTGGAGAGAGCATTCTCGTCCACAAAGCAGATAAAGAATGAAGAGCGGAACAACATGGGTGATCAATATTTAAATAATTATTTAGTTTGTTACATTGAGCGTGATGTATTTATAAATGTAAGTAATGATGTCATTATTGATTGTTTTCAAAATATGAAAGCTCGTCGAGGATAATTGTAAATAGATTGTGTATGATATTAAAAATATTGTTGGAAGTTTTATGCTTTGCATCAATTAGTTATAGTTATTATATTTCCTTTCATTTGATATATTTGTCTATATAAATAAAAAGGATGAATAACCTTAACCGACGCCCGAGTTGATCAAATTGATTAGGTTGGCACCCGTAAGAGACGGGATTTTTGAATTCATTCTCTCATTTTTGAACCCTAGACTCGGTAGAAGGGGATTTGGAGAGGGGACTTTCACCTACAAATGTTGGGTAAGTGATTTTAATCCATTTCTAATCATATTCCATCAATATATCTTAGATTTTTGCATCAAAATCATGTGAATCAAAGTGAAAATTGGTAAAACTTTGTCAAGATTTTGAAAAATAAGAAATTGAGTTTTGAGAATCGATTGGGACTCAGATTTTGAAACTAATCATATATATGAACTCGTGGGGTCATGGATAGACAAAATCTACCATTGGACCCGAGTTTTAATCAGGCGAGCCCCGGGTTGACTTTTGTTGACTTTTGGAAAAGGTGTAAAGATCTTAGCTTTATCTATTGTAGTTGAATTCCCTAGCATTGTTTGATTATATTAGGTCGATTTTGGTTAGATTTGTGCCGTGTAAAAGAAGATTTTAAAGGAAAAGCTATTTTTGAGTGTAGAATTGGCCTAGTAGAGGTAAGTGTTTTGCCTAACTTTGTGTGGGGGAACTACCCCATAGGATTGGTACTGTTTGAGTCCATTGTGCTAAGTGAAATCCGTGTACGCAAGGTGAGAAGTGGGTACACGGGTTGTACATGGTATTTGACCGGTTTAGGTTACTTAGACTATTTTCATGCTTGAATTGAAATGCCATATCATGTTCTAAATTCTCCTAGTCAATCTATTCTTACTTGTGTTTGTCTATCCTTACATGGATTAAATGATTTGGTTAACACTTGTTCTACATTCTAATTGATAAATTGCTCTCATGCTTTAGTTGAATGTGTTGCCTCTTTAATTATTACGTGTTATTTCTTTCATTGTTGATTATCGTTTTTTGAAGTTATTGTTCATGTTGTGTCCCTCATTGTTGATTTCTATTATTTAGAGTTATTGTTTATGGTATCCTTTCCCTTGTTGATTTCCATTATTTGAAGTCATTGTTATGAGTTATCTATTCCATTGTGAGTTATTATTATTTAACATCGTGGTTATACATTGTTTCTCATTGTTGAGTTATTGGTGTTGAAGTTGTGAAGCCGTTATCACGTTGAGACAAAATTGTTATTGTTGAAACATCTTGTTGAGCATTTTATATTCATTGTTGCTGTTGCTATTCTTGTACACGTTGTGGTGGAGACGTAGGCTATTTTTGTGAAAATATTGATATTGTTGATTATTGGCAAGTTGTGATATATGGGCACTTGTGGTGCGAGTTATTATTGTGATGTTATATTGACGTGTATGCGGCGGTATAAGGCTTGGGGTTAATGTGCATGCAACGGTATAAGATGGGACTTATGCGCGTGTTGCTTGTAAAGGAACTACGTGAAGCCATGCGACATCATAAGGTTGGCTAAAGTGCGTGTAGCTATTTCGGGAAAACTGTTTTAAAAATCTATTTGAAATGTAGGGCTCACGCGACGGTATAAGGAAAGATTGTGGTTGAAATTGAGAAATGTGAATACGATGCGGTACCTCGATTGTGATTCTTGCTTATACGAGGTGGTACCTCGGTTAAGATTTCATTATACACGAGGCGGTACCTCGTTGTGATTCTTTCTGTTTATTTCATGTTGCAAAGAGTTTTGGTGGGAACATTTCTTGTTGTTTTATTCTTTATTGTTCTAGGAGTTGTTGCCCGGGTATGATCATTGTAGTTCTCTTTAGTTGCTTCTTTTATGTTATTTTCATGTTTAATTTTCGGTATTAGTTCATGTTATTATCTTGGTTCATATCAGTTATTTCTCCGCTTTTCTTTATTACCCTTATTACGTTTTTATACTGTTTATTTATATTCTAGTAGGTGTCTTGACCTAGCTTCGTCATTACTCTACCGAGGTTAGGCTTGATACTTATTGGGTATCATTGTGGTGTACTCATACTACGCTTCTGCACATTTTTTGTGCAGATCCAGGTACGTCTATTCGTGCCAGTCGTTAGAGATCATTTGTAGCTGCCTTACGGAGACTTCAAGGTATGCATGTACGACGTCTGCATGCCTCGGAGTCACCTTCCCAATTTTACTTCCTGTTGTATTTATTTCAGACAGTGATGTATTAGATATTCTAGATTTACTCTATAGAGCTTATGAGTCAGTTCCACCAGTTTAGGGGAGAGTATTGATGGGATTTTTGCTTGGTTTCGGAAGAGTATATCAATTATTCAGCTTTGTTTTAGTGTTTTGATAATTCTTTCTACCAAGTTATTATTATCTATTTAGCTTACCTAGTCGTAGAGGATAGGTGCCATCACGACATCCTATAAAGGGAAATTGGGGTCGTGACATGCTGCCACATATTCTGCTTCAGCTATAGATAGGGCCATTGAGTTATGATTCTTTGTTCCCCGGGACACAAGGCAAGAACCTAGAAAGTGAGCTATTCCAGAAGTGCTTTTCTTATTAACATGAAAACCTACATAGTCAGAATCAGCATAACCAACTAAGTCAAATTGTATCCTCTTGGATACCACATGCATAAGCCAGGAGTTCCTTTCAAGTATCTGAGCATTCTTTTGACTGCCTTTAAATGGAATTCCTTGAGATTTGCCTGAAACCTCGCACATAGACCTACACTGAACCCAATGCCAGGTCTATTTGCAGTGAGATACAAAAGTGATCCAATCATTCTTCTATATAGTTTTTGCTCCAATTTTCCCCTTCTTCATCTAGATCGAGCTTTGTGGCAATGTCAATAGGAGTATCATTTGACTTTGAGGATTTCATGTCGAATTTCTTCAAGAGCTCTTGATGTACTTTTGCTGATGGATCATGGTTCCAGTAGGTATCTGCTTGATCTGTAGACCAATAAAGAAGTTCAAGTCACCCATCATGCTCATCTCAAATTCATTCCCCATTATTTCAGCAAATTCTTTACACAATGTCTCATTAGTGACTCCAAAAATGATATCATCCACTTACACATGTACAATCATAAGGTGTTTTCCTTTGTTTTTCAAAAATAATGTGTTATGTACCTTCCCTCTTTGAAAGTCAATAGTTAGAAGGAATGTTGACAACCTCCCATACCAAGCTCTTGGGGCTTGCTTTAGTCTATATAGAGCCTTGTCCAGTTTGAAGACATGATTAGGGAATTCTTCACTTTCAAAGTCAGGAGGTTGTTTAACAAATACTTCCTCTTTCAAATATCCATTCAGAAATGAACTATTTATATCTATCTAATATAGTGTAAACTCCATATATGCAGCAAAGACTATCAACATTCTGATGGCTTCCATTTGTGCTACTGGAGAAAATATTTTCTCATAGTCAATACCTTCTTCTTGATTGTATCCTTGAACCACCAGTCTGGTCTTGTTCCTTATGATATTTCCTTGCTCATCCAGTTTGTTCCTGAACACCCACTTGGTTCCTATAACAGCTCTATTTTTGGGCTATAGTACCAGGTGCCAAACCTTGCTTCTCTCAAATTAGTTTAGCTCCTCCTACATGGCAATTATCTATTTTGGAT